ACCAGATTACCCCCCACAACGTCCCACAACACATCTCCGCCGTGTATTGTGAGCATCTCCCGATGATGACATCATCATTTCTAGTATCATCATCGAGAGATGTTCCTAATACACGGTGAATGTGCTGTGGGATGTTGTGGGGGTTGATTTGCTCTCTTTATGGTATACACAAATGGGTATTAAGGCCCTGTTTGAGAACACTTAAAAGAAGTATTTATTTAAACAAGTACTTCTTTTAAGACATGGGATCACACATTAAGTGGTTTTTAAGTACTTATGGGTGCTTGGTAAAAAAGAGGGTAAGAAGTACTTATTATTAAAAAAAGTACTTAAGAAAGTGACATGGATGTGTCACTGTTTTTTTTCTTAAGGCCCTGTCCCTGTTTTTTTTTTCTTTAATGACAAAACTACCCCCACTCGACTTTATCATCTTATTCTATTCGAAACCTACAACAACAAGCAATGGCGGCGTTTGGTTGCAGGTCCACTGGCAACGTTCGATGGTGAGCAAAAGCCAGCCGATGGAGTTGGGTGTATAATACAGCCGACAGAAATACGACAATGCCCAACACTGTTCTCAGTATAGGAATAAAAAAGCGGTGGAGGTTCTTACAATACATGTAAAACGGCTGTTGGAACCAAACTCCCAATTATGTACTCAGATGTATCCCAAAAAGCGGTGGAGATTCTCAGATTCAGATCTCTGGGAATCAAACTCCCAAATGGCTGTAGGAATCCAAAGCCCAAAACAAACTCCCAAATCAGCGCCCATCGATCCTGTTGTGTACCTGTTCATTGGACCAATAATTCCTTTCTATATATGTACTCAGATTCAAATCTCTGACCGCAATAAAAAAATAAAGCAGACAAAAATTTCTGAAATGAAAACAAAAGAGGGTCATTTTAATAAATATCAAACGATTATCAGTAAAAGAAAAAAACTAATATAAACAATAATTCTGATCAAGAGGAAAGGAGATGAAAGGAAAAAAAAATATTTTTGTCTATGAAATGGATTGATTAAGTACTGGCTGGAGTTGAGCTCCGAATGTAAGAGAAAGGGAGTTCGACCAATAATTCTGATCAAGAGGAAAGGAGATGAAAGGAAAAAAAAATATTTTTGTCCATGAAATGGATTGATTAAGTACTGGCTGGAGTCGAGCTCCGAATGTAAGAGAAAGGGAGTTCGATTGTTCAAGGAGGATGGAATGGTGGAAGGTGGAGATCGGAATGAATTCACCACCGCCTAGTTCTGTGTCGTGAGGAAGATGATGAACAGTGGATTTCTAGGGGTTCTGAAGAAGAAAAGGAAGAAATATGAGACGAAGAGGGTTAAAATTGTCCTTTGCATATATATAAGCACTTATTGGGAAAGTAGCTTACCAAACATTCCTGCCCCCAATAAGTACTTAAAAACATAATAAGTGATTTGAAAAAACGGATTACCAAACAATCTAAAGGGTTGTTAAAATAATTACTTCTAAAATTATTTTTTAGAATTACTTAATCGGCCTAAATAGGTTGATGGGTTACACCTCCCCGCCCATTCAGGATATATAGGAAGTGTTAATATGGGTTGATGGGTTAAAAACACAGCCCAACCCACACTCATCAGTCCGCCCAAAATAAAAAGGAGGCAGCTTATTGTAATTTAGAAATCTTCAAGGCAGTAAAAAGTTAACAGACAGCAATAGTCAGTCAATGAGTTAATAGACAATTCTTAGTTTCTTACTTCAAATTTTCCTCTCCCCACGCGGCCACGCCCTATTTCACTCGTGGGAAGCGGGAGAACAAGCAGAGAAAAACGAAGTGTTTTCTAGGGTTTTCTTGTTCCGAGGGTCTCACACTGTCAGAGTTCTCGTGTTTTGCTGCAAAACAACACCACCTGCGATGGATCCTTCAGCTCTAAACTCCGCCGAGTTGCAGCAGTTTCTTGATGTATGTTCTCGAGCTTCCTATTTGTTTCTTCCCTTTTTCTTCAACAATGTATTTTTTTTTTCTGTATTTTTATGCACAATAGTTATAGTTTATTTCTTAATGTTTCATCTCTGAGGTAGTGAAGATAGTCGAATGCTAACGTATCGAATTGATCTGATCTTAATGTTAGAACGTCGCATTTAACCCTTCTGCTCAAGAGCCAGGGGTAGAGCCAAAACAAGAAACAAAAACAGCCACAAAGAGACTGACCATTGACAGTTTTCTTTACTTGGAATAGCTAGGTCGAGAACTTTTGGGGCTGAATGCCGAAAAGGAAAAAAAAATGGGGTTTATGAAATCCTGGTTTTTGGGTACCCGGTTCTCTTAGAATCTGTATATTTTACTTTATGTCAGCATAATTGTTTCTGTTTTAACTTTAATTATGTGAAGGAAATTAATGGCATCTTTCTTTGAAATTCTTGATTTTAAAAATACAAACCCATATAGCCACCATAGGAACAAACTGTTCTGTTGTTTGAATTTACATTGTGAAGCCACACTTCTGTCAAAATCTGTAAAAAATTATATGAGCCAGATTGTGTACCACAGGTTAATATTGCCATGCCATTTCAAGGGGTTATCACCGTTTTTCTTTCTTTCTTTCTATAATAAGTTGAAGATTTGTTGGATATCTTTTATGCTTGTCCGTCTGTGTGGTTGTTGGGAGTTTGTATATATAGATTGAAATATTGAATCGAGCAAAAGATGGCCTCTGGTTATTTTTTTTATGGATATGTGGGATGACATCATTAGTAACTACAATTAGAGATGAATTATTAATCTTCTCAATACAGATTTGGAGGCTCATCTCTGGTTGTTGCATTTTTTTTTTTCCGGGGGGGGGGAGGGGTCGGGTTATAAAAAGCATTGGAACACGGATGTACTTTTCTACTGTTATGAGAAAAGCTATTTGGGAATTGGGAAATTACTCATAGAATTTGCCGGTAGAAACAAATCTCCCCTTTATGCACTCTTCTCTAATTGTATGGCCAATCCTTTTTTATCTTTAAATGCTTCTAGATAATTGAACTTAGGTATTGAAAATAGTAAAGTGGTATTTTTCTTTGCTTATTCTTTGTTATCTTTTCTAATATGAAACATGTAATGATATTTTCTACTAATGAAAGGCATGTGTGCATCATTTTCACCGTTTTTATCGACATATTGGTCCTTCCCTTATTTTATTAACTAGCTAATGGTCCTGTACTCAATGCAAGACAACTGTATGTAACTATTTTGTTTGGGATCCACTATCCATGTGGTAAGTTTTGAAGCGTTTAGCGCAGGCTTTTATTTGATTTAGGATACTAATTAGATTTGAGTTGCAATTAAAAGCATATTTTACCTTGAAAATAGGATCTACAGCAATGTAACATCTTGATAGCATTTATCAAAAAAAAAAGAAAGAAAAAAGTAACATCTTGATAGCCTTTGTTTTGGGTTTTATAATTGAGTTCGGAAAATTGATTTGTGATTAAAGGATGTGAAATAATGTTCTAATCTGAATTAGTAAACAATATGATGTAGGTAGAGTTGGATCCATGCCAATGTACATATATTTTCATTTTAGATTAAACTTTATTTAGCCCCTTTTTTCAATGTTTTCAAGGTGACGCTTTGGTTACTAGGTGCCCTTGGAGGCTCGCCTTGCCAGTCACCAAGCAGTTTTGTATACTGTCTTATAAAATACTTTTATATTGTTATTTTTTTTTAGATTATAATTATGAAATAGATATTATTAAACAAAAATATACATTTTTTTGTGTTTATAAACTAATTTCTTTTTATTGAACCCTCAAAGACTTAATCTGAACCAATAAGTATGGGAAGAACTTAAAAATTTGTCTAATCAACACATTTCTTCTTCCACCTTTTCTTTTAGGGTTGAGCCCCTATATTTTTTGAATTTTCTGTTCTTCTTTTTCTTCTCATAAATATGTTGATTTTCTAGACTTAAACATGATGTTTATAATTTTCTTATGAAAATTATGGATAGTTACTAAGGAAAGATGGTTATGAAATCTAGGGGATACCATAGGATATGTGGTTTTTACTTAAAAAAAATCCATCACCTAGACCACTAGGTGACAAGGCACCCCACTGTCGCCTAGCCCCACCTTGGCGCCTTGAAAACTGTGGGGGAGGCTTAGCCACATGTTTGAAGGAGAAGCTCTCCTTTTTGAGGGCTTTGTTTTAATATATTATAGGTCACACGAGTTTTGTCCATCCCCTTTTATTGGGCTTATTCAAGCCAAGCCTCAAAACAAGCAAACTGAGATCTTTTCCGGTTTTATATAAATCCTTCCTGCTACTTCTATTAGGTATTGTCTGGTGGTTTGTTGTCATTTTTGGTGAAACATATTATCCTACATTAAAGAACCTGCAAGACTTCAACAATGATCCTAAATTATGAAGACGACATCCATTTTTTGCCATTTATACAAGAAGAATGAAAAGTGACGTATAACCATATATAACAAAAACAAAATTTGTAGTTTGATGTTTCTAGTTGGTTTCTTGTTGTCTATTTTAGTAAATTACTATTATAATAAATAAACAAATAAATAAAAGGAAAGAAACAGAGAAAAAAGAAAGAATATTGTTTCAATGTTTGAATAGTGGCCCTCCCAAATGATGAATATAGAAGATTGTTAAATTATATCGTTAAAGAACTAGCTGGTCATACTATTGACTTGAGACTTGTTATGGTTCTCTATGCAGCAAGAGAAGCAAAAGGCCATGGTTAATGAGATGGTGGCAAAGCTTACAAATGTGTGCTGGGACAAGTGCATCACTGGGACCCCTGGCAGCAAGTTCAGTTCTAGTGAATCAACTTGCCTTTCTAACTGTGCTCAGCGGTATATGGACATGAGTCTTATCATCATGAAGCGTTTCCAGTCCATGCATTGATATTTCTTTTCCAAGTATTGGCCAACTATGAAATCAAGAGGTTTTGGCCATTTTTGCATGTTGGTTCATTATCAGGAGTATGTATTCTTATTTCCTCATATTTGACATTCAATTTTATGTAGTTCCAGAGTAAGCAACAAGCTATTGCTTTCTTGCTGGTTATCTGGAAGTCGAATGCAAGTCTTTCTATTACGCAAACATTGGACTGAGAATTAATGCTTGAGGTCAAGCCCATCTGATTAATAGTTCAGATAAAGCGATCTTCACCGTAGATCTAGTTCTGTTCCTTTCTCTTCACCATAAATCTTGGTTATTTGGAAAAGCCATGTTTCCTTGACCCTGGGTCTCCTGAAAGCAAAAACTGTGCTAACATTGAGAGCACAGCATCCAGCCGCACATCAGTAATGTCTTACATGCGTGTTAAATTAATGGGGAGATGTTCCTGATGACTGATGTGGGGATGGATGCCGTGCTCTTGGAGTGTTTGATGGTTTTTGCACTTAGGAAATCCTGTCTCTGTTTGGTCTTTGGTAATCTTTGTTTTAAGGTTGCCTTACTTGTTATTAAGCTAAGAAGTGGTCTGTTCACATAAGCATTGCAGATGATTCTTGAGGAAACTGCTGGCTTTTTGAATAAGCTGGGCTTTTTAGTTGACAACTTACCTACCATTCTTGCACTTAAACCATTCCAAACAGTAGAGGCCTGTTTGGGAGGGCTGAGCTGAAGATTCCAAGGTTTTTAAAAACTACCGAAAACAGAACCGATCAGGAGACCGTTTTCCGGTTTGGCGGTAGAACTGTCTGGGTTGAATGGTTCAACCTGTGATGTCATAAATCAATTAAAATTAAAAAATATATTTATAAATAATAAAATTAACCTAAAATTAAATAAAATACGAAAAAATACAGAAAATAAACTATTTAAATACAAAAATAATAAAGTACATGGCAGATAGAAAATACAAAAAATACACAAAAAACACATAAAAAGTTCAAAAAATACAGAAAAAATAAACATAAATTAGGGTGTGTTTAGTCATACTCTATATGTGCAGAAAATACAAAAAAAAATCTAAAAAGTTACAGAAAATTATAAAAAATAGAAAAAAACACAGAAAATTGCAAACAAATACTGAAAATATACAAAAGAAACATTAGAAAACAAAAACTAGGATGTTTTAGTGATATGTGTTCAGTCATATGTTGGTAGAAAATACAAAGAAATTCAAAAAAATACAAAAAATTGTAAAATTACAAAAAAAAATACACAAAAAAGTACAAAAAAAAAGAAAAATACAGAAAAAAACAAAAAAAAAAGAGTTCATATAAACATTGAGTTCACTAAACTGACAATGTTTTCCTATAGTTCAAACAATTTGTTTATCTAGTTCAAGGTTCAAAGTATTGAGACGTATCGTTTCGGGACTCCTTTGGTATGCCACTACAGTGGGTGTATCGGGGGTCTGACCGATTTAGGGGGTGGAAGAGCCTTAAACCGGTTTTGAAAAAAATAAAAGTAAGTATAAAAAAGAGTATCGATATCGCCTGATACGCCCCTATTGGCATATCGATATTTTGAACCTTGATCTAATTCATATAAACATAGAGTTGATTAAACTTCAAACAATGTTTTCCTAAACATTCATGCCATTATAATCTGTCATACTTTAGAAGAGGAAAAAACTCAAGTACCTTTGAGCCTTTTGAAAATCAAATTTCTCTACTCTAATCAAGTCGCTTTTATTCATAACAAATGCAATCTGTTGTACATCAAAAATTGCAACTCAATGAATTTGTATATAACAAGAAGTAAAACTAAATAAAAGCAAGACTTGCTTTAGAAATGCCCTTACCTATACAAATTGAAAGGAACCTCTTTAGATGGTCAAGTCTCTCACTATTTCCTCTGGACTTCCTATTCAAAAATACTAAGAAAACAAGTCAAGAAAATTTGCAAAAGATTCCATATTATCATCACATCATGCATTCCTAATTCATTAAACACAATACTTAAATACTCAAAAATAAAAAGATCACAAATCAAGTTCAACAAGTATTAAACACAAATCAAAACTTCAAGAAGTTCAACATATAAATTATACTAATATAATCCAAGGTTCAAAATATCGATATGCCTGATACTTGTTTTTTTATTTTTTTTTTCAAAACTGGTTCAGGGGAGCTGGTCTAGGACCCCTCCATCCCTTGAACTGGTCAGACCCACGATACACCCACTGTAGGGGCGTATCAGAAGGGTCTCAAAACGATACGTATCAGTCGATACGTAACAATACTTTGAACCTTGATCCAATCATCCAAATTCTCAAGATATGTTGGCTTCATTTCTCAGCGGTACCAACTACCAATCAAAACCAAGTGGTATTTCACCATCATTTTTATCGTCATCTTTGGAAAGCTATGTTTCATCTACATCTCCAAGTTGGGTGTTGGCTGCATTTTCCTCCACGATTCCCCATTGCTCAGTGAAAAAATCATCACCATCTAAAGAGTGAAATAAAAAATTAGAACTCAAGAAAAAACCAAAAGAATCAAGTATAGAAATGTCATGAGATAATATCAATAATAGTTACCATAAGTCTTATCTCTTTTTCTTGATGATAATTCCATTATTGGAAATGTTGTTTCATTAGTTTTAAACATATCATCTTTTTCATAGCCATCAAGTAACAGAAGATCTTCATGATTGTACATTATCCAAATCTTCCACAATATCAACATGTTTATGCCCAATTAGGTTAAGACTTTTATTTTTTTTCCTACAAAACAACGAATGATAAAATTAGATGCAATGAAACCATTGAAAAAATAGACAATTATGAAATATAATACATTTATCCATCTATAACATGGAGGTTGCAATGAACATATACTAGGTCATTGAGCCTTTGGTGTTTAAACCTATTTCTTCTCTTCATGTGTATCCAGATGAATTACATGTCTGGGTAAGGATCCGTACAATAATTCTTTTGAAATTTGGAGTGACATAATCGAATCCCAACCACCATTCACTTATATGCAATGAAATGGAGTTGATTTAATTTATAAAATAAAATTGAAATAATAAACATGTTATAAGAAAAATTATTTATTACCTAGAGGCATTGTCTTAAATGTCTTCACTCGGAAAGGTTTTTCAAAATTAATACAACTTTCAAAAATAACAAGCTCTTTGTTCAACTTTATCTACACATCATATGATTTGAGTGCAAACATTTCAATGACATAAAAAATTGTTGACAACTTTTGATTTCGGGTCCTTATTGGAAGGCGGAATTAAAATAATACCCCACAAAATGAAACCTTTTATCTATTATTTATAGAGGCTTAAATTGACATTTCATGATTGACTCGTCTCAAACAGTGGATGCCTGTTTGGGAGGCTGAGGGAGACGGCCCTTCGAATGACTGACAGCCAATTTTGGCTCGGGATATTTTACCAAACCCAATACACTGGAGCAAGATTCAGCTTCATGCAGAATTGGGTGGGGGTCGGCTTAATTCCCGAGTTTTGGGCCTCAGCTCAGTAGAGCCCCAAAACTTAGGCCCAAGTTATCCAAAAGTTTGGGTTGGAAAGATGAGGGTGCTCTTGAGGCCCCAGTGGCCAAATACACGTTGCTGCTGGCGGATCTTGCAACCTTATAAAAGTGCCCATGTGAATACGTATGGTTAAAACACCTTTGGTTTTCATGCTGCTATTACCCTGCTTCTCAGCTATGGACTTTGGTTTTATGTTCATTTCCACAATCAATACATGCCGTGCTCCCCCTGGACAGGGAAGCTCTTATGTGTTGGATTTTTCTTTTTTGTGCCAGGATACTCTGAAAATTTTTTGTTAGTTGGAGGATTCGTTGGATTGGTCATCTCTTCAATACTGGAACAGGATCTGATTCTCACCTCAGAGGCACATCCACCATGCATTGGGAATATCTTCCATGAATAATAACTTATAAGTACGGGAGATGTCCCCATTGCATGGTAGGATGTGTGTGTGAGGAGCAAATCTAGTCTCTTCAATCCCATACAGGTATCGACCACATGTATAACTTTATATTTTTGCTCAATAGATTATGGTTTAGGTAAACTAATTATATCTTACCTACAGTCTCAGTTAAAAAAGTAGGGAAATGAAGGAAATGGTAGAGAAACCTTTACAAACATTGTATAGGTTTTATTGCCTTTCTCTTCCTTTTCCTACTTTTTTCCTTCAAACTAAACATAGCCTAATGGAATATTGATGATGCGCAATCCGGTCGGTCCTAGCTGTCGGTCACCTTACCTTTGATAGAGCCGAAGATGCCTGAAACAAGGAAGAAATTGGAGACTTCCGGGGAGGAACCCGGTTGGAACACTCCGAAGCTCAAGTCAGTGCTCTAGAGAAGGCAAGGGAAAATGAGAGATTTCAAGACCAGAAAGCACAAATATCACATACCTCCTTCTTTGGGAGATGGAGGCCTTTTATAATCACCCTCTACACTCACTCCCAAACCTCTGCCAGATCGGGCATCATCACCTCCGCCAGATCAGGTGTCATCATTTCTGCCAGACGCCAGTTCGGGTGTCATAACTTCCGCCAGTTGCCAGTTCGAGTGTCATAACCTCTGTCAGTTGTCAGTTCGGGTGTCATAACCGCCACTATACTTGTCAGGGTTGTCTTTGCTACGTCTGAGATGGCGGTGGCAGGTGGTCGTTGGAGGGCGGCTGTCATGTGTCAGACCTCTAATCAGTCAGGCGCACCGCCTCCGTGTACAGGCTTCCTGGTGTCGGGTACGGTTGTTCAGTTAAACGTCTTGGAGCCGAAGTGGTGTGCGAGGTGAAGTCTTGAGTTCGGATAGAAGTGTGGCCTGAACTGCCCCGGGGTGGGTCAGCTCGGGTTTTTGCCCTTTGTGCTCCTTGTAAGGCTCAAGATCTCCAAGGGAGAGCTCAGGTTCTTCCTTGGGGAGCTCGGGTCACTGGTTCCTTTCTTGGGGGAGCTCGGGATTCCCTTTCTCAGAGCTCGGGTTGCGGGCCCGCTGCCGTGCCGAGCTGGTTCTTCTACTAGGTCACTCTCGATTGCTTCCACGTGTCGCATGGCCAAGGGGTTGAGCCAAATCTTCCTCCATCAATTGCCCCCCACTCCCCGTGCCCGGGGTCTTGACCCGGTGTGGGGAGTTCACGGGATGACGGGTGGATTTGCCTTGTGGCGCTTTGGCCTTGGTTTGGAGCTTCTTCTGTCTGACCTGCTTGTGTTTTTTGGCCCGATCGGGGTCGGCTT